GGTTTTGTAGAGAATTTTAAGCGCTTTCTTTTGATAATTAAGACAGCTTTACTTACAGTGATAATAGACAGGAAATCTTAAAAATACTGGGAGGCTCATTATTCCTGGGACACCCGATATTTTCTAAAAAGTAATTGCTCTGGACTCATTCTCTCATTTCTCCTTATTTTATCAAAGGAATTTCCGAAAAAACAGAGGGTGTGGAGTGTGGGTGTGAAGTAAGAGAAGAACATTACCGACACCCTTAATATATATATATATATATATATATTCTAACAATATTAACTTCAGTCCTTATATTTATCCTATATTAACATAGTCTCGTAACTGCTTGCGCTAATCCGCCCTATTTTAGCCGATATATGCCATCGGACTTTAGCCATTGACAATTGTTATAATAGTGAAAGTCTTAGTGGCAAAGTTGCAACCATCCTTGTGCTGGCTTAGCAAATGAGATTATACAATTGAATAGTTGATGATGCATGAAATTGAAGTCTTATCAAGCTTCAATGACATACATGTTTACTTTAATGACATATTCACATTGATTGCTGTGTTTTACACACATGTCACCATGTGAGAGTGAGTGAGGTCGCGGTAACATAGATATAATGCTCCATATTCTTTAATTATGGAAATCTATCTACATAGATTAAAATTTAATCTACTTAACATGATAACAACTTTTCTATCTAGGGAGGAAGTTGTTAAAATGAAACCATGCTGTATATATATTGCTGCTCATTTTAGTTTCATTTATTTTTTAATATTTTACACAATGAATACAACAACAACACCAATAATGTCTAATACAAATACAACAATGACGTTATCTCTGGAACAATTATTGTTAATTTTTAGAAATCCAATTGTGGTTATACGATTCTATCAAATTGGTTATTTGTTTATATTTTTAATTGGTTTTCCTGGTAATATAGCTAGTCTATTTACATTTTCACGACCAACATTAAGAAAAGTATCAACTGGTTGTCTCTTTATTACTTTGGCTATTTCTGATATATCACATTTACTTATATGTATCTTTGATTTTTTAGAATTTGGTTTACAAGTAATATACATTCATATCTAGAAAATCAAAACAAGAATTTGTTTTTCTTTTCTGAATAGATTCATTTCTATCCTTACGTTGCATACAATGAACTTTGTCGATTTCGTTCATTTATAATGAATGTAACTCAAGTTTCATCAGCATGGATATTAGTCATAGTTTCTATTGATCGATGGATTCGAACTCGATTTCCATTTAAATCAGGTTCAATATGTACACCAAAGAAAGCTCTGATTGCTGTGGGTATATTACTG